ACAGGCGCCCACCACAACGTCTGGCTATTTTTTGGTTGCAGCCGTCATTGTTGTTTTGGCGGCCCAGGCTGGATTCGAACATGTCACCTTAGGAGTATGTGGCTGGTGCCTTAGCCACTTGAGCCACAGGCGCCGAGCCTAAAGAAGAGAATTTTAACAAATGGGTTCGAATTCTTTGAAGAAGTTATTAAAGAAGAGTTTGTAGGGGGAGGAAACAAAACGTATTCTAACTTACACGTGGAAACAAAACTCATAAATTGACTGGAGGCTAGTGATTAGCCCAACTTAGGGGAATAACCTAACTTTTCACAGAAAACAGAATCCCAAAACTTTAAGATGTGCTCTCTGCAAATGGCACCAAGTACTACCTTTTCCAGCCCTCATCAGCACTGGACTCGGTTTAGACACCCCCACAAACCATTCCTCTACCTCCACAGGAAGTGAATGTTTCCCCCTCCCCCATGACTGCCTTCTACCCCCAACCGGAAGTGAGGCGTCCCCATTCAGTCAGCCTCAAACCGAGACAAACGAGTAACAACAGCGGCAAAAGAGGGATGATCTTCAAGGGGTGAAGGGCATCTCGCCTTGCTTACTGACCTGCTGACGATAGGGGAAGGCAGGGCCCTGGGCCTAAAGAAAGTCCCTTGCACAGAGGACAATTCCCTCAGCCCCTCTCAATCGCCTTCACTCTTCGCACTCGTCGTCTCACAGCTTGACAAAAATTCCTCCGCAGCACTTTATTTTGATGTCCTTCCTTTCTCTTTGCCCAATTGCTTAGTCACTTTACCACAGGGAACGTCTCTTATCGCAGTAACATTTAAAATTGTTCCGGCGTGGCGAAAAAAGAAATAATATTCCCAGTGCCTTCAGTAAAATGAAGGGATTATTTTTGCCCCAATGCGGCGAAGGACTACGTGATTACGCAAGTTGAGACTTATTTTCGTGGAGGCTTCTGGGAGATGTAGTTTTCTCTTTATTGCTAAGGCCTGCAAAAAGTGGTAGGACTTAAATTGATAAGTTACTGTATACTGGCGTCTTTGAAAATACATGTTCCGTATTTGACGACGGCTGACACAGAGGGGTTGGCACCAAAAAGGGCCAAGACTTCCTTTGTCCTTTTCCTCTGGCGTTTAATCGAGCCCACATTTCCCCTCACGCGGGGCCAAGGTCGCCCCGCCCACTTGCGCTGGCCCCTCCCTCCTTAGCCAGTTAGGCTCCCTCTAGGTCTCGTTTTTAGGGAGGTTGGAGCGCAAAGAGGAGGGGCCTCGCGGCGACTCCTCCCGCGTGGCTGAAGGAGGTCTGGGAGAGGGCCGAGGCCCGGAGCGCGCGCGCGCGTGCTCACACCTCAAGGAGCGCGGTGGCCGAGTGCGCGCGCGGAGGGGCGGCGCGCGGGGCTGGAAGGAGGCGGGCAGGCTGGTGGGCCGGGCGGGCAGCGAGCGGCCGGGAGCGCGCGGCGGACTCGGCGGCGGCGGCGGCGAGTAGTTAGTTAGTTGTTAGTCAGTGTCAGTTGCTCGGCGGCGGAGGCTGAGGTCATCGGGAAAAGGACTGGACAGGCGGCGATGGTGGTCACCGCGGCGGCGTGTGCGCCCCTCAGGTAACAGGAGCAGGGCTGCTCGCGTCCTCTCCGTTCTCTTCGCCTCACGCGCGGGGTTGTGGGACCAGGGTCGCCGCGGGGCGAGTGCGCTGACACGGGGGAATCCCGGCGGGGCAGCGCCGCCGCCGGGGCTTGGGCGGCCGGTGCGTCCTGCTCGGCGCGGGCTCTCGTGCCCCGGCCACCCCCGCGCCCCGCCGGTGCCGCGCGCCACTCGCGCCCCTGCTCCCTCCTTCGGTGGCGGCGGCGGTCCCGGTAGCGCGGCGCCCCCCAGAGGAAGGAAAGTTGGGACCTGGCGGCGAGGGACACCCCCGGGCGCGGCTGGGAGGCTGCAGGGAAGAGTGAAGCCTGGAGGACCTGGACGCTCGGAGCCTGGGGCGGGAAGGGCTTCGCTCGCTCTTGTGGAGTCTACACGGTCATCCCGTTCTCAAACCTGGGCGGATCCGGTGCAGCCTCTCCACCAGTTCCAGGACGGAGCCTGGTGGCTCTCTGCCTGCTCGTTTCGCGCTGCGGCTGGTGAGCCTCCTAACGTGTGGGTTTGCTTAGTGGCTTGGGGGTTTTGAGTGGTTGAGTTGGTCAGTTTGTCCGTTCTTCGAACTTTTCTTTCCTCCCCCGATGGGGACTTGCTGTGTGAACCTCGTCCCCACCCCCATGGCGTGCACCCTCTGTCTGAGAGCTTGATTTCGGTTTTTCTTCCTTGACTTTGTTAAAGACTGCTGAGAGCAACAGGAAAGAGCCTTCCGCCCTTTAAATGTTACTTTTTGCAATCAGTGTTTTAAAGATCCAAGTTCAGGAATTTGAGAGCTGTGGAATGGAGTTATTGGAAGGTTGGCGTTTAGGGTGTAGTGATGAGTTAGAGGAAAACTATGATTTCATCTCTATTGGCCTTGCTATAGAAAACCTAATATATTTCTCTTCTGTCTTTGTTGAATGTGGTAAGATTGTACGTTCAATTAAATACTTGGAGACTTACATATAGTGCTATTTTTAGGTCATTGGATGATGTACATGAACAGCTTTTCACCTGAATTGGAATTGCCTTGAAGATTCTAATTTGGGGCCTACCTACTGATTTTTATTCAGCCACAGCGTCCTTTTCTTTCTAATAAATGATATAGTAATATGTGTACTCAGAGAACCCATATTGCTTTCTGCAGTGTAGAAGTGAAAAACGTGAATTATCCACAGGGGTAAAACTTTGCATGAGCAATCTTGGATATTCACTTCGTGATGACTTATCTAATCTCAGAGAATTTCTAGATAGCTCAATTCGCTGACTGTCTTAATTACTTTCTGAGGGACCTGGCAGTTCTCTTTGGTGACTTGTTTAGTAAACTATAATGGCAAGTATGGTATATTTTCTTGCGTTTGGAGATGAGAGAGAGTTATAGCTTCAGAGATTAACAGTTAACAATGGAAGCAGAATTCATACCATTGCTAGTGAGTTTTGGCTATGACCAACTCGCAAACTATGTGAAAAAACAAACATCCTCTTTCCATAGATGTCAGGAGGAAGAAGGGGAAATATTTTATCATATCTTTATTTTGGAGACTAACATGACTATATTATGTGGGAAAAAACATCAAATTGTTTCTTCCAGGCTTTACTGTGTGGTCCTCCTCTTCCTCACTTCTTGTTTAGGGCCTGAAATTTATGTTTTTTGCTGGGTTCTAGGGTTGGAAGAGAAGTGCTTTGGTGAAAGGAATAGGTAAGATTGCTTTGAACTATTATGGTACAACGACTATTCATTTTATCCAGTGATAGTACACAGAAATTTCCATGATAATGTTTGTAGCCCATTAATATTCTGCCAGAATTCATTTTTAAGAGGCTACGCTGAGGCCCGTAAAGAAATAATGCTACTTCATAACTGTTTTCTCATAGTCACATTAAAAACTATGTTCTTGGAATATGTTATATATGTATGCATGTAAACATTTATCTTTGTACATTCATGTTAATACAAATATTTAAATTTGAGAGGTTAAAAACTTTTATTTGCTTGTTTACATACATGTTATTCTTTCTTTCCTTTTTTTTTTTTTTTTTTGAGACAGAGTCTCAAGCTGTCCCCCTAGGTAGAGTGCCATGGCATCATAGCTTCCAGCAACCTCCAACTCCTGGGCTCAAGCAAGTCTCCTGCCTCAGCCTTCCAAGTAGCTGGGACCGCAGGTGCCCGCCACAATGCCTGGCTATTTTTTGATTGCAGCTGTCATTGTTGTTTTGGTGGGCAGGGCTGGATTTGAACCCTCTACCTTAGGTGTATGTGGCTGGCGCCTTAGCCCTTTGAGCCACAGGCGTGAGCTTGCATACATGTTTTTCAACATCTAACAGGGCCAACCATATTTGCCAAATAAGCATCAGCCATAAATTCATGCGTTGGCATATTTCATGTAATAAGTCTTTTGAATTGCTCCATGGTGAAGCATCATGAGATTAGCATTTGCTTCATGAGAGAGATTTGTTGTTGTTTTTAATTGTACTGATGTGCTGTTTAAGTGGAACAGGTGCTGGGCTGTAGCTGTTTGTGGTGAAAACTGCCAAATGATATGCCTTTGTTGAATGTTAAGTAATTTAGGATCCAAACTGTGGCTCCTAGCATGCCAAGTTTGAGTTCAAGGATCCATATCAGTCTTGCAAATCCCTGTTTTCACTGTAAAGGTAGGTGTATATGAACTTTATTTTCTTCTTTGCTGATCTCTTTACTGTGATTCCTACCCCCACTCTCCATCTTAAGTCTAGGCTCCTTCATAGTTGGTTGGTTTTCCTTGGAGAACTAGAAATTCTTGTAACCTTAGGTATAGGTGATTTGCATTTGTATGACGAATATTTGAGTGCCTTCTGAGTGCCACGTGTGGTGGTAGGATGTGAGTATATATAGAATGAGATCTTTTTGCCAGGAGGTTAATTTGAGAGAAGATAGTGGATTACCAGTAACCACTATATGGTATGTATGACAGGTGTGTGCACAGGTTCCTATGGGTGGAAGTGGAGGAGGAGTTGCTAACTCAGACTTAGGGAGAAGGTGTTCTGGAATGCATCTTAGTGGGTTACCTGAGCTAATCTTGAATAATAACTGTGAGTTAACTAGATTCAGAAAGAGGGAAAGTATAGTTTATACTTGCACAGCCAACAAATGTCACATATATATTGTAAAATTTTCTAGTAATCACATTTTAAGATATAAAATGTGAAATTAATTTTAATAATGTAATGATTCCAGTATATTCAAAGTAATTATTTCAACATGCAAGCGATATAAAAAGCAATATTGAAGTATTTGACATTCTTTTTTTGATTCTGTCTTCAGAATCTGGTGATTTATATCTATAGCACATCTTGTTTTCAGCTAGCTTCATTTATATAGCCAGTATCCACAAGTAAACAGCTCACCTTTAGAACAGGGGAAGATGAAGTGAAATAAGCCAAAACACTGATTGCCTTGTAAACCTAGCTAAGGTAGAAAAAAAATGTAAGCTATGCGTGATAGAGTCAGGTTTGTGTTTAAGACTTATCATTTGGCAGTAAAGTGAATGTTGGATTAGAGAGGGGCAAAATTGGAAGCAAGGACCAGCTATCCTGGTGAGAAATATGAGGTATCTAGAACGGGGGGTAGTAGCTATTTAAGAGATTTGTAAGTATTACCAACAGGATAGGGTAAATAATCAGATTATAGAATTGCACAAGATTGAAGATTTAGGATGATTCCCATTGTAGCTACTAGGTAGTTTGAGCAAGCAGTTGAAGAGAAGGCAACTATCTGTGCCAGACAGACTAAGGATGAAAAAAGGAAACTATGAGAGATTTGTTACAGAAAGTGGGGGAGAATATTTCAAGGACTAGGAGTGGTCAACACTGGGTCCTGCCATGGAAAGGACAAGTAAGATAAAGACTAAATAAAATCCCTGAAACTGGGTAGTGCCTGTGGTTCAAAGGAGTAGGGCGCTGGCCCCATATGCCAGAGGTGGCAGGTTCAAACCCAACCCTGGCCAAAAACTACAAAAAAAAAAAGTTCCTGAAACTTGGTGTTTGAAATGTCTTTTCTAAACTTCAGCTAGAGCAGTTAGCTAAATTATAATGCACGGAGAGGGCTGAAGAGGGAAAGACAGACGTGTAGCTAATTAAGAGGGATATAGTGTTTTCAACAAATGACTTTGAAGGGAAGAGTGTAAGCAGCGGAAGATGAAGGGGAATTAGAGAAGTTTACCTTAAAAAATAAAATCTTGAGCATGCTTGTGTGAGATTGGAAAGAACCAGGAAGAGGAGAAATTGAAGAAGAGTGTATGTGTGTTTGATGGAGCCAGGGGATGGTGGATGGTGGGCAGAGGCAAGGATTTGGAGATAATACATATTAGGGATAGGATCCTAGGCTGAGGTAGAGCAGTTGGCCTTGAGTGGAAGGGAGCGGAAAGGCAGCAGATAAAGATGGGTGGCAGTGTAAATAAGTTTCTCTTTCTTGACAAGGGCAGGAAGGAGAAAGAGTTGATGACTATCTTTGGTCATTTTTGGTCATCTACTAAGAGTGAAGGGGGTGGGATGAGGATACTTAAAAAGAATGGGAGTTTTTTTTTTTTTTTTTTTT